ATACCACTCCAGCTGATTAACAGGTTGATGATATGTCACCTTCCGATGACATCTTTAGGAAAGATGGCACTATCGGGTGGGTTGAGGCTGACAAACACAGGCCCATGGATGCTCTCTGGTAACGTATCAGGTTGAAGGCGATTCATCCAGTAAGTCCTATGGATAGTCAGCACTTGACGTAAGTATATCACTAATCTTGTTTTGCATCAATCAAGCATGAAGAGTAGTAACAGGGGACCGACAGACAAACAATGTCTTCCACGTGATCTTTCTCGTAAGCTTCACCAGAATTGTGAATTACATAGTTCCAAGCTGTCCAACAGTTACGCTGTTTGGGCGTCAAGCTCGGATCAGAATGCAGTACTGCATGGTTTGCAGTGCAAGAAAATCGAGATAAGACGGATAACGCTTGATTGCAGGCTGTGTCCGATGCAGAGGATGCCAGGATTTTTGACGTCTTGTCGGTGTGAGAAGCAAAAATCACTTGATCAAATGGCCCACGCTCCCTCCCAGACTCGAGTAAGACACTGAGTTTGTCATCTCCCTCGCGCCGAATGGAGGTCACAGATGCACTTTTATGAAGGTGAGGTTGTGGAAGTTCCGTAATATAGCTTCTACATAGGTACGAGCGCCCCCAGGGATTGTTAACCACTCTGGCTGACCAAAGACTTGTAGTAGGTGATGATTGGAAAGAATTGTACAAGAGTTTTCACCGGGAATAACAGAGCGGTTTTGTCTGCGGGGGTTGACCAGATGGCAGAAGTCATTGGCTGTTGAAATTGAGGACATTCAGCCCTATGAAGTCTTTAGCACATATGCGGAACAAACGAGCTTACCAGTAGGCAATGACGCCTGAACGCATCTGAATAGCCATTTTCGTTCAAGTATTCCCCAACACTCAGCGATGGACGTGGATCGAGCAGGGCGTCTGGGGCGTTGGCATTGAAACGGATGATATCACACAACATGCGAGCTTGAGCGCCCCAATCAGATGCCCCAGCAAATGCTGCCATTAAGCCTGTCCCAGCCCACTCATACTTTGAACCGACGCAAACTGAGAAAGACATTTCGGAGGGACCACTTCGAACGCCCGGTATAGTGAGAAGTCGGGTGAAGTTAGGATACGTGAGCCGATTAAAAATGATGAAACCAGTGTCTACCATAGCATTGGTGGGGAGTGGGACGGTATGGGGATGACCACCAACATATTCATTTGCTTCGAAAAGTTCGACTTGGTGCTCGGAATGTTCATTCAAAAGCTGATCAATTTGTCAGTGAAACATCAAGTATGGAACGTTCAGAGGGTGTCTCAAACGCTCACCCAGACAGCACCTAGTCCACTGATTCCACCTCCAATGACGGCTACCTTCATTCTGAGATGGGCGAAAGAGATCAGGGATTGATCAAGCTGCACAGCCAGTGCAAGGGCTAGAGATCGATGCAGTGACTCAGACTGTGACGTCTTCATCAGCGCCCCAAGGTTTGATGCCCAAAACCACCGGGGCCGGCGCCCTGACTACTCGCAGCCATTGGTCATCTGATTTCACCTCAGCTGCCAAGGGAGTTCTGAAGATGCGTGCTTTTAATGCTTCCTGCAGCTTGGATGGCACCGTATTTTCTAGTGTTCAATTGACGCCCTCAAGATTTTCTCCTCCGGGCTAAAAGTGACATGTGCATGTGCCCGGTCATGTAACAAAGTGCTATGCCTGTTCGCTGAGGTGATTGCTCAT